AGAACTCGATGTCAACGTTGGTAGCTCAACTGGCCAGTAAGGAACCCCACTACATCCGCTGTATCAAGCCAAACGAGGAGAAGAGCAGCACTATTTTTGATGTGGAAAGGGTGGAACATCAGGTTCGCTTCTGCCATTTAATTCGGAAATTTGGGACCACCAAGTCCGGTTAAGGTCCGTTATCTTGGTCTACTCGAAAATGTGCGCGTTCGACGGGCTGGTTTTGTCTATCGATGTGGTTACGATCGTTTCATCAACAGGTGAATAGGGTCCTGAAGACTTTAACAAGTACTTTTGATGATTGTAGTACCAGTTTATACTTATAGATACAAGATGCTCTGTCCCGATACGTGGCCGAATCCTCGTGGTGGTTCTCCACGGGATAACTGTGCACGAATTCTGAAACATGTTGGCATGCACGATGACTGCGTTTTCGGAAAAACTAAGGTAACTTCAGATGTATAGAGGGTTACTGTAATCTAATTTGCTCACGGTGCTTTTAAGAGGGCGCTGAGGTTGCGTTTATAGTCGAGGAAATTAAAGGTAGCGCCATGGTTGCGAGAGACCACTATTACCGCTATCATGAACGTGACCGCCGGCGAAACTTAGCAATAGCTGATCCTACGAGCAGCTGGCTGCAAATTCGCTCAGTATAAATGCAAACTGAGGAGCCAGACATGTCGTAGGATAGGGCCTTCCCCGTTGTGAAGTATAAACGGAGTACCCATCCGGTGTGAGATTTGGTAACATCCTTCCTGTTTCAGGTATTCATCCGAAGCCCTCAGACAGTATTCCGTCTAGAAGAACTGCGAAGCGAAAAGATACCCGGGGTGGTAATCTATCTGCAAAAGGTTTGTTTATAGTTTGGAATCACTACAATAGTATGTAAACAGCATTTTGTTTCCAAAATACACCTCCATATCAACGGTGATTCACAGATGTTGCGTGGTGCCCTGGCCAGACGACGATATAAACAAACAAAGGCCGTCTATCGAATAATGGCCGCTTACAAACGTTTCAAACTTCGCAGTTACATAATTAGTGTAATCGATACATTCCGGTACGTAAACTATTTGTAATTCGAGTAGGCCATGTAATACTTTTATTCCAAAGGTGAAGAAACTTCCTTTCTGCACAGGCAAAAACGGAAATCCAGTAAGGAAACTCAGTTCTTACGGTAATCTAACTGCGCGTCCTAGCTAAGAGCACAGCCCGGTGGGCTGCACGAGGCACCCGCACTGTGCTCTTGCTCATAAACCTTTTTCGATGTGTCGTAAATGTGTCGGATTGAGGATTTGTGTATTCTAACAGGATTATGGCGTGGAATGGCAGGTGTTGACCGTGAAATGCTGCGTCCATGCGCCTTTTTCTCTAACTCTAAGGTTACATAAAATGGGTTACCCGATTTTCGTTTCTGTTTGGATTAATGTGGCGAATCACCTACAGTCTATAGATTTTCCTCCCCGAGACCTATGGGAAGAGGTTTATCGAAGTGACAAGAGTTCAACGAGTACTGAAAGTCCGTTTTGAAAAATAGACTTGTCCTCTTGAAAACAAATCAAATCGCAATCAAGAATTCAGCCCCAAACTCCACCAGGGAGAGCAAGTTCAACTCACGGATCGACCAGGCAGAGCCGAGGTCTAGGAGTGTAGGAGTTTTTCTACCCGAGCCTTGCTCGCCGCATCTGACCACCCACAGTCGCGTGCTAAAAGGGAAGGTTTGAAATTTTAGTGGGAGAACCGGGGATCGCCACTCGAGTAGAAATACTCTGAGCTCAGGTAACCCAGGCCTAGGAGGTACACCCTTTGCATTCATTCAATAGTAATCAAAAAGTGTGTTAGACGAGTTTCCAAACGGCAGTTCTGAAGCACTATTACGCGCTATGTTCCTATATCCCATACAGTATGTGTCTACATCTCTTACTGTATGTTACCAAAGTTGTTTACTTTACATTTTGCCATTTCATCGACTATTTATAGCCCCATTTGCCAAGAATCGGGATTGAGTTGGTTTCAGTCGTTTGTCTGTGGTGATGTACGAGACTTACTCTGCCCATGGCATCCGTTAAGCTTAAAACTACTAAGCCCTAGCTCCAGGCGACTTGCCAAACCCCTTGTATCATTAAATCGCTGAAAACTGATTCTTAAAGGCGGTTTGGTCCCTGAACGAATCATTTCACCTGTTTTTCATAAAATATCCTTTTGCACCTTGCGGTGTCGGTGGCACGCAGTGGCACGGGTACATCATCTAATTTAATTGGTGTGTTACTCATATTCAACGAGCTGGGATATCCCTGGAGCCACGTTTGTGGGTAAATCCATCTCTGCAGACGAACTTTTGGACCATTCCGACCAAATTTTCGAACTTTGGAGTTGTCATGAGTGAATAAGACACCATTTTTCTTTCTCAAATGTAGCTGAGTGGCTATCACTGCAGGGAACGTTTAGTGAAGCCCATGGAAAATGAGGAGTTTCATGTTTCTGGGGTGTTCTTTTGCCGCCGGCTGTGCAATGCCATTTCTATGATTACTTGTTATAGGCAGTCCTGCATTCAAGCAGCATACGATATCATGGCTCTTTTCCTTGATTAATTTTTCTTTCTGACTGAACTTTAGCCATCTCCGTTTGCTCTTCCCAAATCCCATTCCTGGAAAGCCGTGCAAGAAATTTGCATTTGCCGAGCCGTTTCAAGAAAGAAAATCCCATTTGCCATGCTGTTTTTTCTCATCCTCTCTAAGTGCTTTCTTTGTCTCTGCCTTTACGCCCGACTCTGCTCAGCCTTCCCTCAGTCGTCTCCGGCTTTCCTTCAGAATAGACCACGCCATGACTATGACCCTGCCAGATTCTGTCCCACTGGGATCCTATGAGCCGGACTTTACTCATGCAGTTCTCGTCGTAGTTCTTATGAGTAATCGTGGCATGGGACCTTGCCTAGGTCCCTTGCTGCGAAGTTATGGCCTTCTCTACTTGGACGTGCGGATGACTAGAGTACAAGGAATGGAATCGGGAAATGTCCCAAGGAAACAGGTCATTAGGTCCACCACTCCATGTCCGAACTCAAGATATCCTTTCTGTCTGCCATTTCTCC